TGTGTCAGTCGTGTGAGCGAACTGATTCGTCTCCGTGTACGGGGGCGTAAAATCAAGGAAAATTCAATCGTAGGTGGTCTGTTGACAACAACGTCAACTCCCTTCAACGACCCCACATCCTACGCTTGTTTAAGGAGGATGAAAATGCAGTTGTCTGTCATCAGATATTTATTAAATCTTAAATTATATATTTAAGGCCCAATGTGCTCTTTCATTACAAACTTAGTGCTGTCGTAAAAATAAGTACAAAGTTGGTAATCACAGCTGCAAACAACTGTATAACAGCAGGAATGAATAGCACTACATGAGTACTATTTTATACACATTAAGTCAGATCCGATTAACAACAAACCCTTTTTAAATAATTGTCAACAATAGTAGGTAAGTATGGTAAACTGATAAGGAAACAATGAAAAAACTCCTATACCGGAAATCGATGGTAGATTTCAGGGAGCCACCTGATTTTCAAAAAAATCGACGAGGAAAAACTCTTTGAATAGGTACGTAGACTGAAATGGTGTGATATGATGCAGTGAGATGGGATCCTGATGTTTAGGGCTCAGGATGATCCTTTTCGTGGGGAAAAAAATATATAGCATCATCGGAATGAGACAAGAGGAGCTCATCGGGGTCGAAACGAGAAGGGCACAGTAGAAGTCAAGAGAACATCACCGAAATGCCGGAGATGCGACCAAGCAGACTGCATAGTCCACCGAAAAGTTGGCGAAAACATAAGAACCCGCGACGATCATCAACAGAGACCTCGAAGACTACGGTCAAGGTTTCAAAGATTCTCGTCTGGATGTTTAGAGCTAGAGAAGGGGTAAGGTGTAATAGACCGGCGTGTAAATAATGCTTGTATGGCCGCCTAGGCAGGACACAGCAACAGGAACCGCCTGCAATGCATGTGGTTTTGCGCCAAATTCTGGGGATAATAAGCTTAGAATTAAGGTGAGAATTAAGGTTAAGTTGACGTTTGGGGTTAAAGTCAGAGTTAGGGTCAGGACTATGGTGGGAGGGGGGTTAAAGTTTGGGTTCGTGCTGACTGTAGGTTTTAGGTTTGGGGTAGGTCTAAGTTTAAGGTACGGTTGTAGTTACCCTTCCTAAAATAGATCGCAGGGTCACCTATTTTATGCGAATAGGTTGAGGCCTCACGAAGGGTTTCGGCCTGCGTTCGACCCCAACTCCAAGTGCTGCGAGAGGGTGGCCGACAGCCTCCGAGACGTTTTTGACGTACGGGATCGCTCGTCAAAATTCAGGGGTCGGTGCGACGTGACGACTTTAAGTGGGCAGAACGTTCCTATTCCCATGTCCGGCTTTGGCGGCCGTATAAGTCATCCTTGTCTGCTGGTCTACTAAATCTTTCTCCTCCTCCAGCTTCAGACGAGAACTGCTGAGCAGACAGAGCTTTAACGGCAACCGGCT